ACACGCATTTATAATTCTGCTACACAGCCATGATCAACTGACTGCCTAAGGAGTGTATATACTAGCAGAAGAGTGTGAACAAAGTTATTTACTACGGTATGGTTTATAGCAGTAAAAAAAAAAAGTTTTATTTAGTAATTCCACAATAACTAAACAACACACTACAAAGATAATTTTTCATCATGCAAAACACTGTATATGTTATCTGATAAAAGATCATCTGGCTAATTTCCACTAATTTTTTAATATGATATCTACAGTTCCATGTGTATAGTTTATTACCAATATAATGATAGCATATCAGAATTCTAGAGCAAAGAAAAATTGATTGAAACTATTTTTTACTCATTGCAAAATTGGATAAATGCCAAAATGAATAAAGCATAAAAAAATTAAGAGTATGTCCTAAACTTTTTATAAGTACATATAATCATACTAATATACAAATATTTGTTAAGCATTAGCTATTTTTTAAAATATATGCATGTTTACATACATGTACACCTGTTCTTTACAACCACAAGAACATATTATAAATATTATTTATTATTTAATTATAAATATTACAATATTTTTTTTTTAATTTGAAGTTTTTCATTTCACATCATCATAAACATTTCTCTAAGTCAGGGTGTATATGTGTGTATATTTTTCTTAATAGCTAAATAACATTCCATTGCATTTTCATTCGTTTATTTATTCAACAATTGTCTATTAAATCTATCAAAAACTCATTAGTGCCAGGCATTATTGCAGACTCGGAATATATCAGTAAAGAAAATAGATACCAATTCCTGCCCTTGTGGTGGGTGGGGGAAAGGGATCAATGGCACTGAAAGAAGACCGGGGAATGTAGACAATGAACCTAATCAATTCCCACTGAGGGATATTCACGTTATCACCAATATTTTTAAACATATTTTTATTATCTTTTTAAATTAACAGATAAAATTGTATGTATTTATTGTGCAAAACGTGATGTTTTGAGGTATATACACACACATTGTGGCATGACTAAATCTAGCTAATTAACTTTTTTTTTTTGCTACTATAAACCATGTTGCAATAAATACCTTTGTTCGCACTCTTCTGCTCCCTTTTGGTAAAAATTCTGGAATTTAAATTCCTAGAACTGAAATTATTGAGTGAAGAAGTGTGAGATTTTAAAAATATGATAAATATTATTAAATTTCCCTTCAAAAGGCCATGTCAGTTTATAGTACAACAAACAGCACATGAAATATTTCCTCTCACAATATTTTTTTTAAAAATTTTCAGTTCTTGCAATCAATGTACTCATTTCTTTTACCTTCAGTCAGGCTAAAAATTCCTCACAGTGGTATGTAATTTACATTCCTCTGTAAGTTATCAGATGTTTACTTATTTTTTCATTGGATTCTCTTCTTACCTGTACCTGTAGCCACTTATTATGTATTGCGGCTATTAAACTTCTATTATCATGATTGTAAAGATAATTCTACCACTCTATTATCTGCATTTTAAATTTCCTTTTTATAGTTGTCACCAAACAAACCTTTCCATCATTACGTGCTCAAATACACCAATCTTTTGTATTTTGGGATTCCATGTTAGGTATATAAAGTCTCCCACTGCCACAGTAATTTTGTCTTTTACTACATTTAGAGTTTTATCCTTCCTTTCAACAATTATAAAGTTAAATCCAAAGTGAAGAAGGCCCACCAAACCAAATGGACAAACCAAGACTGAAAACACCACTTTTCCTCTCACTATAGCACTTAGAGAGATTTGTCAAAATTATTTTCCAAGAGATACACTAATTATAGTTTACAAAAAGATATTTACTCCACAACAACTTTCTGAATAAGATGGTAAATTCCATTATACTTGAATTCTCCATTTACTCTTAAAACTAGTTATCTGATTTATTGGGCATTCTCTAAACTAGTTGTTCTCAAAGAACACTTTAGCATACTGTTTTTCCAGGAAAAAGATTGAGATATGTCATTAAAATAACAATAATTTTCTAGGTTACTAGGGGAAAAAAGCTGGAAGATAGAGTTTGCTCAATTTAAGATTTTCCTCCATGATTTTTCTATAAAGCTTTAGCATCTCCTATTTCTTATCTACCAGAAAACATTATCAAATGACAAAAATAATGATAAAATTAATAATTATTTTAAATAAAAGATAAAATATCCAGTAATGCTTATTGTGAGAGGTTCTCTTTATTAGCATATATGATTTTATTTTGGGTTTACTACATTTATATAATATAGCTATATTTTCTACAGGTAAAACTATTTCTAACTCAAAGAGTACTGCAACATTCAGGAGTTCTTCCACATATACAAGTTTGAGACCTACGGATAAAAATATATTGATTATTGTAATTGCTCTAGAATCTGTTTCCTGAAAATTAATGACAACTGGATTGCAGATATAGACACTATACGGGAGGACCCCAAAAACCACAAAATTTATTCATAAAATATTGTGTATTTATTCTTACATGTTTAAGCTTCAAAGTAGTTTCCATTAGATGCAATACACCTATGGAGATGCTTTTTGCACTGCTCAAAAGTTTTTAAACTCATCAATTTTGATGCCTTTTAGTGCTTCTGCCGTTTTTTGTTTCACCTCTTCCACATCAGCAAAACATTTCCCTTTGAGGACTTTTTTCATCCAAGGAAACAAACAAAAGTCACTCTGGGAAAGATCAGGTGAATAGGGAGTGTAGAGCATGGGGGTCATGCTGTTTTTGATCAAAACCTTCTGAGCACTCAAATGGGCAAGGGCACATTCAGGGTGGAAGAATCGGTCACCTGTTTGCCACAACTGGAGATGTTTCTTCTGCAAATTATGATACCGACTTACAAAAACTTCCAGAAAAAACTTTTGGTTGACCATTTGATCCAGAGGAACAAATTCCAAGTATACTATAAGGGGCCCACCCTCTGAAAGATTCTGGGTTTTTCTGGGTCCCCACTCGTATATTAATCTTTCAGTCATTTAACAAATAGCTATAGTTAATATTTTATGCAACTATTTCAAAGTAGTGGTGGCTTGCCTAAATTTAAACAGAAATTCCTAAGAACGTCTGCTCTTCAAGCACATTCACAGAACTATTCCAAACATTCAGTAACTATTTGTTCATCATGAATGGTGTAACAGTTCAAAGAGATTCAGACTCTTTAATTATGAATAATATCAAGAAGTCAGCTTGAAGGCAATAAGGCAAGCTACAGCATGCAGATTCATATATTATATGTGCACACACATTTATAGAAAAATGATGTATATAACTTACTCTCTGATGGGTCAACAAAAACAATGAAAGGGGGAATTTTTATGTGTATTGAGAGAGAAAAGGAGAGCAGGACAGAGAGAAGAAAGAGATATATGCAAACAACTGATGAATCTAGGTAATGTTTATATAAAAGTTCATTGAATTATTGAAACTTTTTTGTAAATTTAAATTTTTTAATGAAAATTTTCAAAAATTCATAGAAAAAAATAAGAAAGCATACACAGGTTTGGTCTTTTGATTAGGGCAAGCCTGTCTTGGGCAGAGTACATAAGGTTATGCTCGCCTTTAGATGTAGCTTTTGATCTTTCAGTGTGAAGCCATGATAAAAGGAACTCTTCCCATCCCATTTCCACACTGTCAACCACATCCCCACTGCCCAACCAACCTGCTCCAAGTTAGAAAAATCAACCTACAATTTTAAGCATAACATTCTTTTGGATAAAGCATAAGTTCTGAGTACAATTGTTATTCAGATGAAAAAGTTGTGGCTGAAGGAGAGAAGGGAGAGACACATTCATATTCTATTACTTATAAAGTAGTTAAGCATTTATTTTTGAATAAAGATTGAAAAGACATCTCTAGCTCTAGCAAATATTCTGAGTAAATGAATAACCTACCTCTCAATGGGTGGTACAAATGTAGCTTAATAGCAAATGAACAGAAAGACACCAATTTTGCCCCAAAGATTTATTTGTAATACACATTAACTTGTAAATTAAATTTTTTTTTTGCCTACAGGCATTTTGTGGAACCTAGCTTAACTAATATCCATATTATAATAACAGTTTAGAGTCCTGTTTTTATAGACTAAATCTAGATTTTTGAAACATCAGGACATAATATAGGGATGCTAACCTTTAGAACCCTTCCTTCTCAACAGTCAGCAACTCAGATTCTAGGTCTAGAGGCAAAAGACACACTCTCAATGCCTACCAAGTCAAGGCAGACACTGCAAGCAACTGAAGGACAGGTAGGACCTGTGAAAACTAGCAAGCTTGTGACAACTAAAATCCTGACATTTAGTTTCAGCTTATTGTTGCCATGGAGAGTGTAGGAGTAGAATAAGTATTTCTCAAAAGGAATATGAAATATGAATTTCATTCAAAACATCCTAAAATGTATAAGGTTAACATTAAATTTTAAAACACCTGGTAGATAAATAAAAACATCTAAATACTTCTGTCCAGGATGACCAGCTTGCAACCTTTTCCTTAATGCACCAACTCACTTCTAAAAATCCAAGTTCTGGCTCAGTGAGATAAAAGGGCATGCGTTAATTTAACTGAATTTTTTGCATCCTATTTAACATGTGAAAGATATATTCTTTGAATCCATAACTTTATATTTAATTTTCAAAATACATCCACAAAGTTAATCCTTAAAAGAAGTTATTCTTTCAAGAAAAATTCCACTATGTTGGAATGTTTAAACCTAACTGATTCTTGCATAAAGAAAGTAAGGAAAATTATTTTTCAACTTACTTGGATTTAGATAAAACAAGTAAGAAAAGAAAAGTACAGGAGTTGGTTTTTATTTTCATCCCAAACATAACAAAGTACAAGAGAAAGATACAGTCCATCTATTTTGCATCCAATTTTTTTCTTTTACTACAAATACTCACCTAAGGATACATAAACAAATTTTGCCTCCTGATGTGAGTCTGCAGAATCCAAATCTCTGCTTACTTTCAATGTCTGTCAGTACAAAGGTAAAGTGCTGTCCAACTTGATTTTGAGATGCCCTAAAATATAGCAAATGTATGAAACATTAAGTTTTTGTGATAATTTTTTAAAGAAAAACAAAAGTAAGAGTTTATTTTTATGTGGCACTGGTTTCATCTTTCCAATCAGTTGGTTCTTGAAGCTAAAGCTATGTTCTAAAACTAAAATGTGCATGAAATACATAAATTAAATCATGAGTCAAAAAAATTAAATCATGAGTCAAACATCAAAATAAGTTGTAACACCTTATGAACTGTACAATTCAGCGTATACTAATTCCTTACTAGGAAATCATAAGATAGTTTACCATAAGTTTTCATAAGACTAAAAGTATTCGTAAAATGTCATAAATGATCAAAATACTATTACCAAAACGGTAGAAGAAGCTAGACATGATGACTGACTGACTCCTTTTCCTCAACTCCTTTCTCGATTATTCTAAAATTGCTGAGATAGCAAATCATGTTGCTTTAGAATCTAATGGCAGCCACCACCACCTCTGTTTAATTGCTTCTCCTGTTGACATTCTCACCCAATAAAGTACCATACTAAATACTCTTGGTATTTTTTCCTAGCATTCTCTTTTAGAGTTCCCAGTATACTGAGAAATTAAATTTCCATGTACAAAATAAGAATATAGATATAATATAGATATTATCTACATAAAAAGTTCACTAACTAAGATGTAAAGAATTTTAGTCAATTTTTAGTCAATTTTGAACGAAGTATCAAAAGGTCACATTGTGGTATAAGGAGCAATATAAAATAGAATGAATCTTTATTTCTATTTAAATTACATAAACATTTCCTGGTACTGATTATAACCTTCCCATTAAATAACCATAACTGAACTTTTGCTTCCTTGTCCCAAAATGAAACATCCAAGACTCCTAAACTTATGTTTTCAAATAGCTATAGGAATTGTGAAGAAGGAAATAAATTATTGTCAATACTACAAACTGTTTTGTCAGAAAATACTGCATTCCAAATGCTGAGCATTCAACAAACACACTTTTAAATAGTCATGTTTTGTGTTTTGTTTTTTAACTTTTATAAACTTCAAAATAAAATTCTCCAATGACTAATGTACTTTCTAGTGCCCAAGATTCATATATCCTTTTGTTGCTATTCTTCCCTTATTTTATATTTACTATTAGCTTGAAAATTGAAACTTTTGGGGGAAGGAGAGGCAAATGATTCCCAGAAATAAGGTAAAACAAGGAGTAGTAACTCATCAGCAGTCTTAATAGCACTGATTAGCCCATCATTCAGAAAGCTTTATCTTTAACATAGAGTCTTACTAATCTTCACTTTAGCCAAGTATTTTCCTAAAATAAATTTTTATTTTAAAAATTCTTCATACCACACTCCCATGAAAATTGAGAATAGGATATAAAAATCACATTTAAAAGATGATCTGCTATTATGCTCAAAGGGTTATATATTCTATGAAACTTCAACTACATGCAAGTAGTTCATTCAGTATTTGTTCAATAAAATACAAAAATAATGAGATTCTCAAAACTGCTAGGAGGGTTTCCCTATAGCCTTCCATAATATTGCACTATTTCTATAAAGCTAGTTTTGGGAGACAACTAACTGTGAGTTTTACAACATTACACAGATGATCTTTTCAGTTAGGATGATATGAGACAGAAACCAGGATTTATATACCCAGACACAATTCTAAGGCTCTGATCAAGGACATATTAATATTTTTTTCTGCCAATGTTCACAGTATGAACCTGAAGAATAAAGAATAAAGGGGAAAAATAGAACCTATTAGCAATAGTGTTGCAAAACTTCTCCTAACTGACCAGAGGGGAGAAAACAAAAGATGTAATGATTTAAAAGGCTTCTTCCTCCAAATATTAATTATCAATCTCTAGTCTTTCTGTTAGAATCACTGAAGAAAAGGTACATTTCATTTTATTTTTTTAAAAAGCACATGAAATAATTTTTAAGTGTGCACTAAGATAAGCTAAAGTCATTTTAAATGATGATTATACTGTACCTTTCAACGTCAAAGGGGAAACAGAACTTTGGCACACTCTGTAGTACTTCCTACAAATGTAAATTCAAAAACAAAAAAAGACGTTTTAGAATTTTTTTTAAGATGCAGTTAAAACTTTTGAGACATTTTCTAGAAAAAAAAAAGTTTGATTTTTTTTTTTTCCTTAAGGAAAATAGCATAGGTTCCTAGACTAAAATAATTGATTATTAAAAAGGAATTAAGTTTGTGCTTTGGCAGATTGCACTGACAATGCCACAGAAGCCCCAGGAGGGAAAGGCCTGGCCTGAAGGGTATTAACACCCTTCACATCCCCGCTGGGATTCCCTTCAACAAGGCCATATGGATTTTACAAGAAGCACCGCACCATATGGGTAAGCTACGTCTGCTGCTACTTGTACCACAGACTAACCATAGGGACTTCTGACAGATCCTGGCTCAAAAATATAAATGTTGTTTCAATTAAAATGCAGGCAGAGAAAAGGGGATGAAGTTGGCAGCAGAATGAATTACTGAGAAGTATAACCACTCTACACGTCCCATAGCCAAACAGCTTTTTAAGAAAAGATTTTCTATAACCAAAGAAACATATTTACATGTTTCAAGTCTTAGTATTAAGTTTTATCTTAAATAACATTCTTAAAGTAATATGTCTAATAAAAGACTTTAAATTAAAACAGCTTCTATTCCATGTACTTTTATTTAAGAATTGCTTAATATGAAAATCAATGTCTTAATTAAATACAGGCAAAAATCTGAGTGACTCTGAACTTTCAATAATTTTATAGTCATTACAAACCAATTTTAAAACCATTATTAGTTATAACAATGCAAATAATTTTCAGCTACTTAACCAAAAAATGGAAAAAAATCTATTTTATTATATTTGAAAAACAACTTAAAATTAACTCTGATTCAAAAGTTATACTTTAAACTTGAAGACAATGTCATACAAGTTCAAAGTCAGGCGATTTTATAAGACAAAGCAGAGATTTATTAGAATGTTTCCTATTAATAAGAAAAAAAGAGTAACTACCTTAACACAGTAGTTGCCCTCCCCAAAAAAATACCTGCCACCTTTTTGCCACTAAATCTCAGATGCAGAAAAACCATCAATATCTGAACATTTAAACCCCATATATACAGCATTGAGTATTTTAAAGTAGAATTTCTTACATTCTTTTAGAAATGTAGACTGCAATAAAACATCAATTAAAATAGAACATTGTAAAATTCAAATATCAAAACCTAAGAAAGCTTCAAGAGGTTGGACTCACAAAAGAAGAAAGAAAAGCATCATGTAAATAAACCACCTTCTACTCTTAGAGCAGGGTACCCTTTGAACGTAGGAGCACAGATTCCATATTTAGAGAAAAGCTATTTTACTACAGACAATGTTTTGTTCGGTGTAATTAAAAGAGTCACTAAACTAAACTTGAAATAAGTTAAATTACTTAAACTGAAAAACAGTTCATTATAAATGAGAACAGTTCATTTTCACTTTACCATTACTTAATACTTATCTTGTGCTGTGTACAGTAAAACTGTTTATCATATTTACTACACATATGAACACTACTCAGATATCCTCCTATAAAACTGTCCACATACTTTCTGTAACAATAAAGAATTTACAGTCAAAACTCCATGTCTGCCTCTAAATATATCCAAATTAGTAATATATTTCACATCAATTTTAAGACTTTAAGAAGAATGCTTCCCAGTTACTTGCTCAATCTTTCACACCCTCCCCCTTTCCATCTTCCACAAGAAACACACATGCACACACTTCTGCAAAACAGCCTCAGCTCGCTTCCCAACTGGCAGAAGCCTCCCTCAGGGGACAAGTCTTTAAACTTCCGCACTCTTTAAAATTCAACCAGCCAGCAGGTCTATAGACTAGTGTATAAACAGTATAGACAAAAAAAAAAATCCTCTCTCAGCTTATGTCAGTGACAAAGCAGCTCAGCAGTTGACTGCTTCTCCCCTGACAGTATAAGCTGGGTTTACACAGATCAATAGCTGGAAGTCCTACCTAGCTCCCAGGGCTTGGTTTTCTTCCTTAATTACAGGTGCTATTCAAACTGAAGTTCAAAAAGCAAAGAGAGAAAGAGTTGGAGGGAGGAATAAAATGCATACAAATTGCTTTTTTGGACCCTTATAGCAACAATATTAATTGAAAATTATACTTCAACATTTATTGAAAAAGTAAACACACACAAAATTCTAGGTTCACACCTAGATTATGAGAAAGATTTAAGATAATACTCTCTAGAAGTTATCAATTTATCCTTTTTTCTATAGGCTTTTGCTTTTAAAGAAATTTCCTTAGCCAAGGAAAATTATTTGAGTTTAAGAATCCTCCTAACTGTCCAAAATATTTTATTTTTATACAAAAGGATATATTGGCTAATGTGTCAAATGTTAAAAATAGGAATAATAAGAATGGAATAGAAGCCGGGCTCGGTGGCTCAGCCTGTAATCCCGCACCTTTGGGAGGCTAAGGGGAGTGGATTGCCTGAGCCCGCGGGTTCAAGACCCGCCTGGGCAGCAAGACCTCATCTCTACAAATAAATTAAAAAATCAGCCGGGCGTGGATGTGCGTGAGTAATTCCAGCTATTCGGAAGGCTGAGGCAGAAAGATCGCAGGAGCCCAGTAAGGTCAAGGCTGCGGTGGCCAGGAGCAGCCACTGCACTCCTGTCTGGGCGACCGAGTGAGACTCCGATTCAAAAAAAAAAGAATAGACTAGAATACAAAACTACAAATAGCACAATACAAGGGCCAATAATATGTATTTCTGAATATACCCTAAAACAGCACTACTACTATCACATTAATGACTCAAAACAGAGACTGATAAAAATGTATACAATGGAGTTTTTTGGTCCCGCATCAATGCATCATCACAAATAAGCATTATAATAAAATTGGTCTTATAAAAGAGAAGAGAGTAAACTGTTAGAGTGGCATATTTACTCTTTATCCCATCAGGTTATCATTTATTACTATAAATTGATCAACAAAAGAAATAAGCATTTTACAGAGAATCTACTTTAAAAAAAAACAGCTAAAATCTATATCTATAAAGTTTACATCTTGATCAAAGTTCAATAACTACAACGGTCTTAGAATTTCTCCGGTAAAAAATCTAAGGTGAAATGAGACATGTCATTCTTGATGTAATTGTTTTTCCTCGCTCTTAAATCACTTCTCCCACCCTACTGGTGCTCTCTGAAGTCCCATATTTTTCTCTCTTCTCTACTCAATAAGGTATATCTTCCTAGGCAATCTCATCTACACCCATGGTTTCAACTACAACTACTAAATCTCTTAGCCTTCTAGTTTAGACACTTCTGTGAACTCCAAGATTATGGATCTTACTACTTTCTGGCATCATTATCTGAAAGTTTCCAGACACCTCTAATTCACGACGTACTAAAATGAAGTAATTATTTTAGTAAAAATAGAACACCATCAACACAGTTACCCAAACCAAAAACAAGATAGTCATCTACACCCCTTCTTTGCCCTGACCCTCATATATAATCAATCATTCACCAAATCCTTTAATTCAGTTTCATAACTGCCTTGCTTTAGAGGTTCTCAATGGGAAGGTAGAAAGGATTAAGAGGAAGATAAGAAGGTATCAGAATCATTTCGGGGGGAAGATCAAAATACATTGATTGCCTACACTATAAATTCACAAGAGTCCTAAGTCTCCAACTTCACTTTGAATAGCACCTATAATTAAGGAATAAGACTAACTGTATGATTTAAGCAAGCTAATGTAGATAAGGAATAGTTATATAGGAAGTGACAGGGTAGACTTGTTCGGGGACTGTATAATGCAACACCCTGCTCAAAGACTTAGGAGTCTCTCTCCTTCTACTCTGATGTGCTGAGTTTGCTGACTTTACCCTTAGATACCTCTACTCATGGTCATGAGCTTCCAGAGTTCAGCACATCCAAAGAAGAGACATCAGTGTCCCATAAAAGAAGTATCTCTTTCTTTGAGTTCTTTTATCAGTGAGAAAAACCTTTCCCAGAAGCCCTATCCCTTACTTTCCCATTATATCTAATTAGCCACAAGGTCACAAGACACTCCTAAACTAAGCATTGTCAAGGAAAACAGTTATCTATGCTCAGCTTTGCCTTAAACTTGTTAGAGAAAAGGTCAGAATTCAAACCCATTCACTTTCCAACAACCATGACACATGAAATTATAAAGAAGCCTGTAACAACTAAGGTGCTACTTGTTTATTTTAATCTAATTTTCACAGGGTCATGGACTTCTAAAAAAGACTACTTAATTTTGTAAATTGTCTTCCCAGATAAATGAGAATTAAGTAGTACTATGTATTCATTTAATCTATTTATGTTTTACAGAAGAAAATAAGAAACATTTTTTTCTTAAAAGAAATATGTACTGAGATACCTAAAGTAGGATGTATTCATCCTACACATGCACAGAATTGAGATTCCCAAACTATTCCAGGACACTGCAGCAAACTCTCAGGTACACTGACAGGTAATTTAAATTGTCAAGGGAAACAGCTGCATTACCCAAGTGATTAAATCAGGATACATTTTATTAAAAGGAAAAAATACATTAATATGGTAAAATTACAAAGACAGCCTCTCTAAATATCATCTTCTCTCTTTTTTAAGAAGCATTTTAGACTTGGAGACTCTATTTTAAACTGAGAGCCAAGAAATAACTATCAAGATAACTGAGCCCATTGTGAGATTTTTCTCTCAGATTTTAATCTTAGGTACTGTTTCTGTTAGAAATAAATTTATCTTTAACCCCGACTCCTTCAATTAGGGAAAGTCTTACAAGTCTGTAAATTCTGATACTAATAACTGTTTAGATTATTAAATCTGATAAAGATATTTTTCACTATCAAAAATTGAACTTTTTTTATTATTAGAAGATTTAAATAGCTTTCATGAAGCAAATACATTCTGTTCTTTAAAAAACTATGTTGTGAAATACACATTTCAAAAATTGTGGTTCTATGTGTATCAGTCTTAAACAGGTAATGAGACCAC